AGAGTTATGGAAAGTCACTTGCATATTCACGCAGTCTTTCTTATTTTGTATGAATAATCTTTAATGTCCCAATTTAGGAATTGGTGGGGGATAGATTTGCCATTGTCCATCCATAATGCTGTCCTACTGTTTTATTGTCAATCCATAGATTGACAAAATAAATGTGGGAGCATCAGAACAGATTTATAGTTATTAAAAGACATTTAATTAATTAATTTAATTTGCTATCATGTTTTAATGGCTTAAAAGCAGTTTATTGTGGCCATAATTTAAGCAAATGTCCAGCTTTTACTGATGGAGGATTTTGTTGACCCCATAACTCAGAGTCTCCACTGTACATTATTTTAAAACTTTGGCAGTCACCTGCACAGTAGCCTCTCCGGGGTTGTATTAAATGCATATTACCTAATCAAGTCTTTAATTGTGTAAAAAGGTTAGTTGACTTTAAAAATATGATACAAATCTGTTGAATAAAGTGTAAAACAGTCTTGATGCTTATGAATAAACACAATTTCACAAAAGATAATTTGTTATACTATAGCATGTTAAAGGATATTAGCAATTGTCAGAAATAAGTTTTATATCTAAGGGAGAAAACTCTTAACTCACTGCTCAAAATAGTATCATCAGAGTAACCTTTCCTGATTATGTGGTAAATGGAATAAATGTGTACGATATATTCTATTTTACAGTTGGATATGTAATTGTTTCTTTATAGCATGTTCTATTCAAAGTTTGATATGTAATGGAAGATTTATTTGTTTCAAAATAAAACAATATAAATATTGTTGTTTTTTTTGTAATTTTTTTTCCTTAATCAAACTGAAATCAAATCAGCACAAAGTAGTAAAACTTTACTATCTATGATAAATGAACAATCATTTGTATTTTACTTTAATGGCACAGGAGCAAAAATTAGCAGTTTTAAGGGTTACAGAGTTTCAGTTATTTGCAGATGTCTATTTTTCCAACTGTCATGTGTTGTTTTCCAGAGTTCTGGCTGCATAATCATTAGAGTTTTTGCGTCTTTAAAAGCAACATGTCATTGTGTCTGTTGTTTGTTTTTTTGTTGCATTATGGTTTAATGTTGCTGCAAAATTTTCAGATTAGTTTGCCTCATAATCAGATCATTATTGTTAATCAATGAATGCTGGGATTTTTAGTCCGAAAACAGAAGTTCCATTTGTGAAATATTTTTTCTTGTTTTAAAGGCATATTTTTCAGTTTGGTTAATTACGAGGAAGCATTGATATAACAGACTGTGTTTTTAGCCGCACAATATTTTTGAAATTTCAGCTAAATTGCCCATCATGGATATTTTTATGCCACCGCAGCATCTGCGATGCGGTGGCATATAGCGATTCACCAGTGTGTGTGTGCGTGTGTTTGTGTGTGTGTTTGTGTGTGTGTTATATAGATTATATAGTGAACTTAAAAAATCTTCTTGTGAAAAACCACTAGTCCAATTTCAACCAAACTTGGCAGGATTGTTCCTTGGGTGAAGGGCTTCCAAAGTTGTTCAAAGAATTTCATTCCATGCAGAAATCTGGTTGCCATGGCAACCAAAAGGAATTATAAGAATAAATTTAAAAAATCTTCTTGTAAAGACCCAAAAGGCCTAGAGCTTAGATATTTTGCATAAGGCATTGTCTGGTAGACCTCTAACAAGATTGTTCAAATTATAGCCCTGGGGTCAAAATTGGCCCCGCCCCGGGGGTCATTGATTTTCACTATGTACATATAGTAAAAACTTAAAACACCTTCTTGTAAAGACCCAAAAGGCCTAGAGCTTATATATTTTGCATAAGGCATTGTCTGGTAGACCTCTACCGAGATTGTTCAAATTATAGCCCTGGGGTCAAAATTGGCCCCGCCCCGGGGATCATTGGTTTTCCTTATATGTACATAGTAAAAACTTATAGTAAAAACTTCAAAAAAATTCTTCTAGCAATTGACAAATGCTAGAGGTTAGATATTTTGCATGAAACATTGTGTAGTAAACCTCTAGCAAGATTGTTCAAATTATAGCCCTGGGTCAAAATTGCCCCCGCCCTTGGGGTCATTGATTTCAATATATACATATAGTAAAAAATAAATAAATCTTATTGGCTGAAGGTACAAGGCTTAGAGCTTTAATTTTTGTTAAATAATATCATCTAAAGGTACTCTACAAAAGTTATTCAAATTTTGCCTCTTGTGTCAAAATTAGCCCCGCCCCCGGTGGCCATAGGTTTTCCTTATATGTATTTAGTAAAAACTTAAAAATTCATCTTCTCTAAATTTACAAAGGCTAGAGTTAAGATATTTTGCATGAAACATTGTGTAGTGAACCTCTTGCAAGATTGTTCAAATTATAGCCCTGGGGTCAAAATTGGTTCCGCCCCGGGGTCATTGATTTTCATTATGTACATATAGTGAAAAAATAAAAAATATTTTTGTCTGAAGGTACAAGGCATAGAGCTTTGATGTTTGATATATAATATCATTTATAGGTCCTCTACCAAAGTTGTTCAAAATTTTCCCCTGGTGTCAAAATTGGCCCTGCCCGGGGGCAGTGATTCTCATTATGTACACATAGTAAAAACAGAAAATAAAACAAATGTTTTCTGAATGGGAGAAAGCTATAGCTTAGATATTTGACTTGAAATGTTGTTTGGTGGACCTGTATCAAAATTGTTTTGAATTAAACCCTTGGGTCAAAATTATGCCTTGCCCAAGGGGACAGTGACCTTCTTTCTTGTCCTTTGATGTACAGCAATGACATTTTGACCATGTGCACAGTTTTAGTTGTAAAATTGAACTTTGATATCAGGTGACCTAGATTTTGATGATGTGACCTACTTTCTTGTCCTTTGATGTACAGCTATGAAATTTGAACCATGCGGTGGCATAGCATTTTTCTCAAATGCAATCTTGTTCATTATTCACGCCAACAAGATATTTGTTGTGTATTTTTCTGCTTTTTTGACAGTAATGGAATGCAAACTGTTCCCTTAGAATTCTTGGTTATTGAATGTCACAGTTGCATTAAATGAGTTAAAAAGGCATTAGTATTAGTTTAAAAAATATTATAATTCAATCAAACATATAAACGCAATATAATTAAGAGTCAAATGAAACAAAATAAACAGTGGCAACTGTTTGGCATGCAACCAGTGAAGACCAAAATCAGCCAACACAGTTTGGTGCTGACTTATCGTGGTCTGCACTGTTCACTATTACATCAGTGAATACTTTTCCCATAAGAATGATGAATATTTCTATCCATATTGAAAGATAAACACATTTGATAGCAAGGTAGAGGTTAAATCCAAGAATTATTAGAAATATCTATGCTGCAGCCAACTCTTGAATAATAATGAAAATAGGTTAACCAATAGATTCAATTTTCTGTATAAAAAATTTGAATATCCATTTCAACCTTTAGTAAATTGTTGATAAGACATTATGTCAATTATGTAACTTAATTTAGTGACTCTTTATAAGTTTAAAAAGGTATAACAGTTTTCTATTGCCTTGGACCGGTGTGAGAGAAACAATGATTGTTTATAATAATAATTTCAATAAAAATGTTTTATAGGTTTTGTTATTTTAGCTAGTAGTGTACCTTTCTAGTTGATGTACTGGTGAAGTCTATTCCACAGTGACCTGTCCATCAAGAGTTATATCTATATTAGCTATAAGCCATGTATCACATTAGGGTAGTTTGTATATTGATGGTTCATGGCAACAATTGTCCTTACTTAGGGTTCAAGTCAAGGTCACTACAGTGTTGCTTTGACAGCTTCCTTTTGTATGTTTAAGGGCTATTATAGTGTTGTCTTGAACACTCAGTATGTAGAAGGGTCTATAGTGTTGCCTTGAACATTGTATATTAAAAGGAGCAACACTGAAGTGTATTAAAAGGAGCAACACTGAACAGTGCTACCTTGAACACACTGTATGTAAAGGAGCTATAGTTTTGCCTTGAACACCCTGTATATAAAAGGAGCAATACTGAACAGTGCTACCTTGAACACACCGTATGTAAAGGAGCTATAGTTTTGCCTTGAACACTCTGTATATAAAAGGAGCAATACTGAACAGTGCTACCTTGAACACACTGTATGTAAAGGAGCTATAGTGTTGCCTTGAACACCATGCATATAAAAAGGGGCAACAGTGCAGCCTGGAACACACTGTATGTAAAGGTCTATAGTGTTGCCTTGAACACTGTATGTAAAACAGCCCAGAGTGCTACCTTGTAAAGAAGCTATTTTGTTGCCTTGAACACTATGTATGTAGAAGGGTCTATAGTGTTGCCTTGAACACCATGCGTATAAAAGGGGCAACAGTGCAACCTAGAACACACTGTATGTAAAGGGTCTATAGTGTTGCCTTGAACACTCTGTATGTAAAACGGCCTATAGTGCTACCTTGTAAAGGAGCTATTTTGTTGCCTTGAAGGCTCTGTACTATGTAGGAGGGTCAGTATTTTAATTGATCAAGTTAAGACAAAATGTTGGTTTATGATTATAATGAGCTATTTGGAAACTTAGCACTGTTACTAATGCATTCTGTCAGAAAACCATTTTCTTAATTAACTCCTAAATGGGAAAATTACATGGCTGAAATGTTGCCTTGAACACTTTGGAATGGACTTTGTCATGCATTTTTTGTGTCTGTTATTTTGCAAGTGACAATGATACACAGAATTGGTTACATGTTTGATGGTGTGATAGTTATATGAAAAATATGTACCTTTATTAAGTGGTACAATATTTATATTTATTGTTCAATGGAGTGGTAGTACTGTACAATATGTATATTTATTGTTTATGGATTGGTAGTACTGTACAATATGTATTTTTATTGTTCAATGGAGTGGTAGAACTGTACAATATGTATATTTATTGTTTAATAGAGTGTTAGTAATGTACAATATGTATATTTATTGTTTAATAGAGTGTTAGTACTGTACAATATGTATATTTATTGTATGATGGTGTGTTGTATTTCAGATTTATATGATAGGTATATACGCCCCAGATCTTATACTCTAAGTACATGTGAGTAGAGCATTCATGCACCCACCTATATATCCTTATTGAATGGTTTATATAAGTGGTTTTTATATGAGATAGATTTGCTAACATTTTATTTCACATATATTTTTGCATCATGTTATATCCTAGTTTTTTTCTTGGCATGCTCAAAATCAATTAATTGAAGGTCTTGTTAGTGGTGGGATTTTTTAAAGAATTTTATTATCTCTATGACACAAATTGTAAAAATTAATAAACTTAGGGATGTTTTATTTGTATTAACTTTTTTGGCACTTCTGGATTTTTCTCGGCCTTAGCTAAGTCTCTCTTGTTTTAGCTCACTGAGGATTATTGGATATCATAAGCCTGAAATCGTCATTTGTACAATTATTTCAGAAATCTTGAATGCTGTATATGTGCCATAGATCTAGAATGCTGCATACGTTTCATAGATCTTGAATGCTGTACATGTTCCATAGATCTTGAATGCTTAACATGTTCCATAGATCTTGAATGCTGTATATGATCCATAGATTTTGAATGCTGTACATGTTTCATAGATCTTGAATGCTTTACATGTTCCGTAGATCTTGAATGCTGTATACATGTTCCATAAATCTCTAATGCTGTACATGTTCCGTAGATCTTGAATGCTGTACATGTTCCGTAGATCTTGAATGCTGAACATGTTCCATAGATCTTGAATGCTGAACATGTTCCGTAGATCTTGAATGCTGAACATGCTCCATAGATCTTGAATGCTGTACTTGTTCTGTGGATCTTGAATGCTGTACATGTTCCGTAGATCTTGAATGCTGAACATGTTCCATAGATCTTGAATGCTGTACATGTTCCGTAGATCTTGAATGCTGAACATGCTCCATAGATCTTGAATGCTGTACTTGTTCTGTGGATCTTGAATGCTGTACATTTTCCATAGATCTTGAATGCTGTATATGTTCCATAGATCTTGAATGCTGTACATGTTGAATGCTGTACATGTTCCTTAGATCTTGAATGTTGTACATGTTCCAAAGATCTTGAATACTGTATTGTTTTTTTACATGTAATTAATTAAAAACTATGATTGTGCCAATCAAGTAAATGTAGAGATAGATTTTAATTGCATCATTATCATTATAGTGCATTACCTTTAACAAGCTAATTGTTTTTCTAATTACACTAATTGAAACAACAAATTGTGTCTTTACAAACAACTAAGGTATCAGTTACATAAACATAGAAAGTAAATGCACAACACTCTCTTATCACTTGTTAATAGATAGCATGCAACATAAGAAAGTGGGCAATGTATTTCTTTCTCAGTTTTGTAATTTTCAATTTTTCTTCCAATTTTATCTTATTTTCTCCATCTTTAAAGCAATCAAAAAAAAGTTCTTCAGAAAGATGAGTAACTCTTGAATGACTGTCTTATAATTTTTATTCTGAATTGCTTCCCTTACAAAGAGAGTAATGGAGAATAACTTTTGTAAGATGGTATTAAAAAAGCATTCTGAATTACTTCCCTTGGTGGTAGAATATCTGAATTCTGTAGGTCTCTCATAAGTTATACTTCTATAATACAGCACATGTAATCTTGTTACTTTTGATGGTTAATAGTTCAGTTTAAGATGTTTGTTACATCTAAAACAAAACTAACTACTGAAATCTTTTTATAGAATAAATGGGCAGGTTATGCTTATGGTATTGGTTTTGCTATAACTGTATGCTATTCTAACATCGTTAGATAAATAGTGATTGATATTTTAGGCTTTTAATTCAAGCAAACAAAACAGTGCAAGGACTTACCTATGTCACCAATTTAGGTCAAGGCCCGAGTCTGCATATAAATTAAATGCACACTGACCATATACTGTTGACTGTTGAACCTGCTGAATTTGTGAAATGGATTTGTCCAGCTTTTAATTGGAGCAGTCTATTCAAAGTTATAGGGATCTCATTGTTAAAAATATACGATTTTTAGCTAACAAATAGTATAGAGTCTGGTCATAATGGGGGAATGTGCAGGCTGGCTTGACTCAATACTGATAGTAAAATCTGGTCCCTAGATTCCATGAGGCTAAGGGTAAGGTTCTAGAATATTGAAATCAGCAGACATTTTCACAAAAAATCTTACGACAATTTTTTGTCGTAAGAGAAATCTTACGATAAATCTCCTTTTCACAAAAAATCTTAAAAAAATCTTTAGTGCAAAATCTGTCGTAACTTTACGATAGGTCTTCCCCGTTCGTAAGTGTAATTTTTTCTCTCTTAAGGGTAAAATATCATGTATCTCTTACCTAAATTGAATAAAAACAAACAAAAAGTTGGAGGACAACTAAATATTAAGCAAACAGTATGCTATAAATAACATAAAGTGAGGTATAATTATTTTTCAACATATACATTTGTGACGTCATGACTTGATGACGTCACGATGGAGAGGGTTATGAATAGTTTAAAATAATGTGAACTATACCTGTAGACTTAGTATTATTGAAAAACTTATAATTTGTACAATTGGTGAGTTCGATTCCATTGCCAGCATGTACTAGTTGGTACCTTTTTATTTATTAATAACATAGTAGACCTTCTTTCTGAAATCTTTTAGATATATATTAATTATCTTCAATCAAGATATAAATTATATCAGTTTGAATCATTTTTTTTGTTCTTAATGAAATTTGATTGTGTTTCAATAGATATTTCAAGCTCCTTGATTACTTGATTTTAAAACCGGAATCAAAATATAGAGCATGCACATCACTATCAAATGAACGTTGCTAGGGATGTTTTTGTCGTAAGATTTATCGTAAGTGAATTTTTTATCTTAAGATAAAATTTTAACTTACGAGTGGCTTTGTGAAAATGACTTAAGATTTAACTTACGATTATCGTAAGTGAAAAACTTACGATAAATCGTAAGATTTTTTGTGAAAATGTCTGCTGGTCCCTAGATTCCATGAGGCTAATGGTAAGGTTCTAGAATATTGAAATCTGGTCCCTAGATTCCATGAGGCTAATGGTAAGGTTCTAGAATATTGAAATCTGGTCCCTAGATTCCATGAGGCTAATGGTAAGGTTCTAGAATATTGATTTTTTTTTAGTTCTAAACAGTTATCAAAGGACTGTTCAAATTTATAGCATGCCATATTTTAGTATAAAATTTTTAGCATGGTGAGAGTTAATTGACTAATTAATTAATGGTTAATTGATTGAACTTTTGCATGTCCCCTATCTAAAGCTAAACTTACTGTTTAATTCAGGTTTATTGTATAAAATTATTTCAAATTCAAAGTTTAGAAGTTATTTCCCAAGTGTTTTTATTTAACTTATTAAAAATTTTGCAGCAATTAAGTTATAGTTGACTACCCACGGCCGAACCATTAACATTTATCATGTTGAGTCAACAGTGGGTATCCAATGATACAATTAGGTGTGTATTATGATAAAGACCTTACTGATTCTTGCATGTCATCTATTCCACCAATGGTACAAGTCATAATAATGTCAACTCTCCTGATGATCATCATTGTTATGATCTAAACTAGTAAACATTAATGAATTATTGATACCTAAGGTGGTGATGTTACTCTTCATTATTTCCTGACTTTAAATAGGTAGGGGAAAATAAAAAGGAAAATTGCTGTTTGAATTGGTTACATATTTCTAGTGTAAAAATTTAGCTAAAATGATTTAGATTGGTCGTGTGAAATTGGTCATATGAAATCTGCATATTCATTGTAGACCAATTAATCAGCAATTATATCACGAAAATTTAAAAGGGTTACGATTTATTGTTACGGTGAATTTTATATTTCAGCTGTGATGGGGAACCATGTAAAATCTGTTCAGATGAATCAAGCATCTAGTGATTCAGAGTTGACAAAGTTCCGAACGAGGACGTTACAGGACAGCCAGATCGATCTATCGGAGGCGGAGAAACTGAAAGCTCTTGACGGACTTAGTCAGAACGCTAAGGGCTTGTTTTTACCAGGTGTACAGAACATGAAACACAATGTATCGGAGAAAGTAGCTCAGGTAATTCTTTAATTACATCGTAACTGTTTAGAAAAAGACAACCTGGTCATTTTGAAAAGGGACTATACTTGTTAATTTGGAGGCAAACATATCTAGCAATTTTATTGTGTCGCCTTGAAAAGGTGACATATAGGGGTTACTTTTGTCGGCGGCGTCTGTGTCGGCGTTGTCGGCGTCCCCTAAAGCTTGTCCGGAGCATAACTCAGTCACTATAAGTCTGATTGACTTCAAACTTGGTATGCATGCTTCTTTCAATAACCCGAAGTGCAGTGGACAAGGACCGGTACTCTGCAGTTCTTATTTTTTGAGTTATTGCCCTTTGTTAATTTTCATACTTTAATTTTGTCCGGGCCATTTTTCTTCAACTAAAAAAGCTATGGACTTGAAACTTCATAGGATGATAGGTCTCATTAAGAAGAAGTGCAGTGCACAAGAACAGGTACTCTGCATTTCTTATTTTTTGAGTTATTGCCCTTTGTTTATTTTCATACTTTAATTTTGTCTGGCCATTTCTCCTTAAGTATAAAAGCTATGGACTTGAAACTTCATAGGATGATAGGTCTCATTAAGAAGAAGTGCAGTGCACAAGAACAGGTACTCTGCATTTCTTAATTTTTGAGTTATGGCCCTTTGTTAATTTTCATACTTAATTTTTGTCCAGGCCATTTCTCCGAAAGTATAAAAGTTATGGACTTGAAACTTCATAGGATGATAGATCTCATTAAGAAGAAGTGCAGTGCACAAGAACAGGTACTCTGCATTTCTTATTTTTTGAGTTATTGCCCTTTGTTTATTTTCATACTTTAATTTTGTCTGGCCATTTCTCCTTAAGTATAAAAGCTATGGACTTGAAACTTCATAGGATGATAGGTCTCATTAAGAAGAAGTGCAGTGCACAAGAACAGGTACTCTGCATTTCTTAATTTTTGAGTTATGGCCCTTTGTTAATTTTCATACTTAATTTTTGTCCAGGCCATTTCTCCGAAAGTATAAAAGTTATGGACTTGAAACTTCATAGGATGATAGATCTCATTAAGAAAAAGTGCAGTGCATAAGAACTGATACTCTGCATTTCTTATTTTTTGAGTTATTGCCCTTTGTTGATTTTCTTACTTTATTTTTGTCCTGGTCATTTCTCCTCAAGTATGAAAGCTATGGACTTGAAACATCATAGAATGATAGATCTTATTGATAAGAAGTGCAGTGCACAGAAACTGCTGCTCTGCACTTATTATTTTTTTAGTTATTGCCCTTTGTTATTTTCATATTTCATTTTTGTCCTGGCCATTTCTCCTAAACTACATTGTTCACAAGGCGACACATCCGACTCGCGGAGTTCTAGTTACTATATGGTATTAGTAAGTAAATTATCTTCAATTTCAGAAGCAATTTTCTTTAGTTCTACGTAAGCAAGAACAATAAAGAGAGTGGTGGCATGGCTGAGTGGTTGACACATTAAATAGTTATCTAAGGATTTCTGTGTCCCAGGGTTCAAACCCCATTGGGGGCAAGATATTTTCGTTAGCAAGAAACATTACACTCATTGCTTAGCACTGGTTGGTTCTAAGGAATAGATTCGAGAGTGTTTCAATAAGCTTACAGCTTTCAACACAATCAAACTAAAATAAGTTCGTATAAACTAACTATAAAAAAACAAAACAACAGAGCATTAAGCTGGAATAGATTTCTGGATGCAGTCTGAGTAAGCACAATAAGTTGAAAATTACATAATCATATGCAAAAGTAGCCAAGTAATTAATTAAAATGATAAGATGAATCGCAGTTTCATTGTTTGAAGAAATTTTATATATTTCATATATATTTTTCTTTTTCTTTTTCTTTTATAGAATTATGTATTAAGCATGCTTGTTCTAAGATGTAGCTACAGAGATAGTAAATGACTGTTAAATATCCATATCACCAAATCAAATTGGTTATAACTTATATGTTTGTGTTACAATTATAATGATTTTGTGAGATAAAAAGCTAACTCTTATAAGCTTATTAAGACAAGTTGTTAAGTTCATGAGTTCAAACTCTGTATGTTGTATAGTTTTATCCTATATTAAACTTCTGGTTGACAATATTATATGGCCATAACTTCTCCCCATGCAGTAATAATTATAGTTATTAATATGGGGAAATTTCTAAATAAATTACCAATAATATGTCAACACTGCTGAGAATCTGAAATGTACTTGTGAGGTTATTATAATACTGTATAAAATAGTATGAGCTCCAGAAATAAATATGACTGAAGAATATAACAGTCATATGATAAAAAAAGTTTGCGTGTAATAATCCTAATTGATGTTCTTTTCAAAAGATGATCAATCGGCAAAATATAATTGGCAATATTTTGCCAATTTATAACAAATATGATATATAAATTTACATGTATTATCAAAACTTTATTGAGTTTACTAGGCATACTAAGAAATTGCAATGTATCATTAGGTAACCTGATATATACAGAGAAAAAATTCAAAGCCATATTTGAACCTTAATCTGGGACTCGTGTTCAGCTGAAGTTGATTTTGTTTGAAGATTCATGCACCACTTGTGTGGTCTTTGCTTAGTAAATCACTTGTGTTTACAGCTGTGGGTTCAAATCCCGCAAGGAACTATGAAGGAAGTTATCCAGCTAGCGGATTTAAGGTCTGTGGTTCTACGTAGGTGCACACTTATGTCTGAAATACTGCATAGAGGCTGGGAAACTGAACCTTTTCTCCTCTTATAAAACTAGAAATATGCCATATGACCTGGAATTAAAGTTACTGCAAAACCCTTACAATGTCATTGCAACTTAAATAACAACCAAAAAGAAATAAAGTCCACTTAAAAATATGAAATACAAGTCCTGGATCAACAGAATCTTATTTAAACTCTAGACTACTTACTTTGTGAGGAAGGCTTCTTAACCCTCCAGAAAGTTGTTCTGTTTCTGTCATTTAAAGAGAGGCTTTTAAGCATTATATATCTTGCCTATATAACAATATGCCAAATCATGACATGTTCATTTTGTAAAGCTATAGGAATGACAATAAAGAGACAGGTCGTATATCAGAGAAAATCACAGAGACCTAATGCTAGACTATCATTAGATATCTGCCATTGTAGAGATAAACAAATGACTTACTTGTATTATTTTAGTGCCTTACATTATATTAATGCAGCTGCTCTGATGAAATTTCCATTTGGTTATATAATTTGAAAATTTTTGTAGTTTTTAATAGGTGAAATATTTATTGAAATACAAGATTTTCACAAATAGAATACTTTGCGTATTGATGCAGTATTATGATACAGTCATTAATAAGAATCAAATTTTCTGTAATTTCACATGTCTGTGTTTAGGTTTGTTTATGATAATAATAATAATAATAATAATAATAAAGACTTTATTTAAAGAGGCAACATAGTTATAGGCATGGTCTTCCCATCAAATATACAATGTACATAGTATAAACATTTACAACAAAAGGTATGATAACAACAGAAGTAACATTGTTACAAATAGTTAAGAAACATATAAAATGATAGCTAGAAGAAAAAGAGAAAAAAAAAACATTAAAAAAGAATATAGACAATGAAAGTAAAATATACATTTATTATTTTATAATACAACTTTCAGATGGGATTTAAAATTCCCTCCAGAGAACCATCATTTCAGATAATTATTTTTGAATGACTGTAAATTTGTAGAGTTTCTTATATCTAAAACCCCAGTCACACTAGAGCTTACGATTACTTGCGACCACCGGCGACTTGTAAAACTGACGATCATCAGCGATTGTCTGCGACTTAAACCATTTTTAGCTCGACTTTTTTTTTTTTGAAAAAAAAAGTAGAGGTATTGTTATAGTCAGGTCGGCGTTGCCGTCTCCGTTGCCGTTGCCGTCCGAAAACTTGTACCTGGATCATAACTTTTTTATTTCTTGGTGTATTGTCTTCATACTTGGCCACAACAACCCTTGGGACAAGACCTTTCAGTAGACCACACTAACCTTGACCTTCATCCATAAATGACCTTGACCTTCAAGGTTAAAAGTCCAATTTTTGCTTGTTCATGCTGTTATTGGCTGTTACTTTGTTATTTTTGAATGGATTGTCTTCAAACTTGAACATAATAATCTTCAAGGATATCCCTTAAAAATAACCAGTCAGACCTTGACATTCACTCATCAATGACCTTGACTTTGAAGGTCAAATTATTGAAATTTTCATTTTTTTGGCTATTATTGGCTGTAACTTTGTTATTTTTGAATGGATTGTCTTCAAACTTGAACATAATAATCTTCCAAGATAACTGTTAAAAATATACCGAAAGACCTTGACCTTCACTCATTAATGACATTGCCTTTGAAGGTCAAATTATTGAAATTTTCATTGTTTTGGCAGTAACTGACTGTAACTTTGCTATTTTTGAAGGGATAAACTTCATATTATAACAGAACATTCTTAAGGACCAGACCTTGTTGTTTATCAAACCCAAATTTGCTTGGGCTCTTTAATGACCTTGACCTTGAAGGTTATATTACTGAATTTTCTCAGATTGTGCATTTATTGGTGTGTGTGTGTGTGTATGTATAGTATATGCAGGGATCATTCTGGTCAGGATTTTTAGTGAGAGATTTTCTCTCATTTGAGAAATTTTAATGAGAGAAATTAGATTTTCTTGAGAGATTTAATTTTCATGATGGGCGAGGTTAAAAATATAGAAATTTCTAACTTTTTAAAATCACTGTACATATAAACATTGTTTATCTAATGAGGATATAAGAAGATGTAGCTCTGTTTATTACAGTGATTTTTGTTTTCACTTTTTTAACACATCCTATGCCTTTTCTTTTGTGAATTTTTAAACATAATAAAATTCTAGTTGTGAAAAATAAATATAACACTTTTATTCTGAAATATAAAAGAATTATACATGGATATCTACTACAACTATTATTTGCAGCCAATGTTCCTAATGGACAACACTGTACTGTACAGAA